CAGTAGTCTGGCAGTTGAACTTGCCTGTAAAGACTGAGGCAAAAAAGGCATAGAGCACTTCAGCCTCTTCTGCATCCTCTGACAAAAGGTTGCCTCTCCCATTCAGTAAGGAACCCAGTTTCCCTGATCCTTTTGCTGCCAACATACTTGTAGAAACCCTTCTTGTTACCCTTCACATCTCTTGGTAGCTTCAACTCCAATTGTGCTTTGGCCTTCCTGACTTCATTCCTGCATGCCTGAGCAATGCTTTTATATTCTTCCCTAGTTATTTGTCCAAGTTTAGACTTATAAGCTTCCTTTTTGTGATTTAGTTTACTGAAGAGTTCCCTGCTAAGCCAAGCTGGTCTTCTGCTGTATTTGCTAGTCTTCCTGCACATTGGGATGGTTTGTTCCTACCCTCTCAGTAAGGTTTCTTTAAGGTACAGCCAGCTGTCCTGGACTTCTCTCCCCCTGCAGTCTGGCTTCCCAGGGGATCCTACCCATGAGTTCCCTGCGTGAGATTAAGTCTGCTTTTCTGAAGTCCAGGATCCTTACTCTGCTGCTCTTCTTCCGTCCTTCCCTCAAGATCCTGAACTCAATTGTCTTGTGGTCACTGCTGCCCAAGTTGCCATCCACTACTACATTCCCCACCAATTCTTCCCCATTTGTGAGCAGCAGGTCAAGAATACTAAGGCCCCTGTTTGGCCTCTCCAACACTTGCACCAGGAACTTGTCCCTAATGGTCTCCAAAAACTTCCTAGATTGCCTGTGTCCTGCTGTATTACCCTCCCAGTAGCTGTCAGGGTGATTGACCCTGATTTCCCCCCCCCAAAAAAACCAGTGCCTTTGACTGGGAAGCTTACACTAGTTTTTTGAAGAAAGCCTCATCCACCACTTCCCCTGGTCTAGTGGTCTATAGCAGACCCCCAGGACACATCACCCTTGTTGCTTTCCCCTCTGACCCTCCCCCAGCGAATCAACAAGCCTCTCCCCAGCTTCATACTGGAGGTCTGAGCAGTCATATGGCTGTTTTACATAAAGTGCAACTCCTCTTCCTCTTCTCCCTTGCCTGTCCTTCAAGAATAGTTTATATCCATCCATGACAGTGCTCCAGTCGTGCAAGCTATCCCACAAAGTCTCTGTTATTCCAGTTGCATCATAGTTCCATGACTGTGCAAGGACTTCCAGTTCATCCTGCTCATTTCCCAGGCTCTGTGCATTTGGGTACAGGCACCTGAGTTGATTGCCCTGATAGGAAGTATAAGAGGACCTCCCTTGTTGCCCCCTCTTTCTTGTTCTTTCTCCAGGTCACCTGCTTCCCCACTTACCTCAGAGGTCTGATATCCATCTCTCAGTGAACCTGGTGAGGAGAGCTTTAAACTAGGTTCACAAGGCGATGGAGACCAAAGACTTGAGGTAAGTGGGGAAGCAAGTGACCTAGAGGAAGTACAAGCCATAGGGGACAATAGGAGAGGCCTTTTCATTCCTTCTGAGAAAGTAGGGCAATTGGCTAGTTATGTCATATGTCTGTACATGAATATATGGAGCATGGGAAACAAGCAGGAAGAATTGGAAGTCCTCACATGGTCCCAGAACTATGATGTGATTGGAAACCCAGGCTGGCGGGATAGCGCTCATGACTGGAGCACTGTCACAGACAGGTATAACTTGTTCAGGAAGGACAGGCAGGGGAGAAGAGGAGGAGTTACTATTTATGTAAACAAGCTGTGTATGATTGCTCATAACCAGTATGGAGTTATGAGCTGGCTGGAGACAGGCCTGTTGAAAGTCTCTTGGTTAGGATCAGAGGGGAGAACAACAACGGGGATGTTGTAGTGGATATGTGTTAAGACCACCAGACCAGGAGTACGAGATGGATGAGGCTTTCTTCAAAAAACTAGTGGAAGCTTCCCAGTCAAAGGCACTGGTTTTCATGGTAGGTTTCAATCACCCTGACAGCTACTGGGAGGGTCATACAGCAGGATAAAGGTAATCTAGGAAGTTTTTGGAGACCATTAGGGACAAGTTCCTGGTGCAAGTGGCAGAGAGGCCAAGCAGGGGCCTTACCCTTCTTGATCTGCTATTCACAAATGGGGAAGAATTGGTGGGGAATGTAATAGTGGATGGCAACTTGGGCAGCAGTGACCACAAGACAATTGAGGTCAGGATCCTGAAGGAAGGAAGGAAGAAGAGCAGCAGAGTAAGGACCCTGGACTTCAGAAAAGCAGACTTAAACTCATGCAGTGAACTGATGGGCAGGATCCCTGGGGAAGCCAGTCAGAGGAGAAAGGAGTCCAGGAGAGCTGATGGTACTTTAAAGAAACCTCATTGAGGGCACAGGAACGACCCATCCTGATGTGCAAAAAGACTAACAGCTAAGGCAGAAGACCAGCTTGGCTTAGCAGGAAACTTAAATGAGCTGAAAGACCAAAAGGAAGCTTACAACAGTGGAAACTTGGACAACCTACTAGGAAGGAGTATAAGAGTATTGCTTGGACATGCAGGGATGAAATCAGGAAGGCCAAAGTACAATTGGAATTGCAGCTAGCAAAGGACATGAAAGGCAACAAGGGTTTCTACAAGCATGTCAGCAACAAGAGGGAGATCAGGGGTCCCTTCCTGAGTAAGGGAAGCAAACTAGTAACACATTGCAGGATAGGCTGAGGTATTCAGTGCCTTTTCTTCACAGGTAAGGTCAACTGCCAGACTACTGCAGCTGCACCAAGACCTAAACTATTCAACCTTCATGCTCCAGGAATTACTCCTCACTTATTAGGACAGGGGTAGGTAATCTGTGGCATGAGTGCCACAGGCAGCCTCCATGTGGTACATGTCGGATTAGTGCAGGGAGCAGAAAACAGAGCAGCAGATCATGCATTTCTTCAGTAACATGTCCAAAATTCTCTTGACATTTTATATCTGTGACCCCTCATAAATTAAAGATATATCAAGCAGGCAAAAGATGGGACAATCTACTGAACTCCCGTTCAAATACTGGGCACAACAACATTCACTTATAGGAAGGAAGAATAATTTCCTCTAAACAGAGGGTATCGGTGATATTCTTTGGCTTGTGTTGTTCAAGAGAGAGACTTAATTTAAGGTTTAAGGCCAGGGGGAGCTGCATTTATTAACAGTATATCATTCACTGGTGCTTTTAGGACTGTTGATTTTTGCACCTCTTGTGGGATATGCAAGAGATAAAAGCCACACATCTTGCCTTAAGGGCTCTCTTCATAAATTATGCAACCCTGAGTCCATAGATCTCACAAATGATAATGATATCTATTGTCCTGTAAAATGTTCCTAATCTGGTTTACATAAGAAAAGCTAAAACTTGACATTCACTTGCTGCTTCTTCAATGGCCACAACATTGTGTGACTCAGACAGTCCTGCTACACTGGTACGGACAAAGGCATATCAACTTAATAAACAGGAGGATCTGTTCTTACAATGTTATATTGAATCTCATAATACTTAATGGAGCTTTTAAGGGCTGTTCCTTAAGCATCTTACGAACATGAGAAGCTCTGCTTTAATTTAAAAAAAAGTTTCTATCACTCATGGCAAAGAAAATAATTGTATCTAGCAATTCAGAAGCCTGGAGGCAAAGACAAACCCAAAATGTGATGTTGAAATGTTATGTTTCTTCAAGTAGGGATGATCTACAATATTTAAATACTTGAGGTTGGCAATACTGGATGAATAACTTACCTGCAAGATAGAGGATGCTGCATGACAGCATTGCCCTTTTGTTATTTTAAGGCAGGGGTATCAAACTCATCTAGCCGGAGCCAGATGAGTGATGCAGGGCTGGTCCACAGCCCGGATCAGGCCAAATGACCCATAAACTCCCCTTCCCCCACCACACCACACTGAATCCAGCACCTGCAGAAGCTGCTTCAGGATCCACGCTGCATGTGACACATCCTGGAGCCACTGGGACCAGTACTACATGCAACATGCATCCCAACATGATGGCCCCAGCAGCTAATCTGGACTGCGTGACAGTGCCTGCTCTAACCAATCTGGGATGTGTTGCTGTATGCAGTGCCTATGGATGCCATGTGAAGTGCTGGTACTGGAGTGGCTGGATCAGGCGTGTGCAGTGAGGTTCCCAGAGCAGCTAGAATGGGTGCTGTATGTAGCATACATCCAGACCCCGCCTATGGGGCTGGTCCAGGTCAATTCAGACCCATGGTCACACCAGGGGCCAGATAGTAGGGCTCTGCAGGCTGAATCCAGCCCACAGGTTTGGCACCCCCATTTAAAGGTAAAATAACTGGAGTGGAGTTAAAAGTCAAGGCCAAGATCAGGCACTCCACAGAAAGCCATAAGGCTGCTTTTTAATATCTTGTAGAAGGACATAGCTTAAGGGCTGACTTAAGGTTATGGCTACACTGCATAATTTACTTAATTTACAGATAAATGAGATAACTTGGATGCCAAGAACAAGAAAGCCACATCAGTGTGGAGATCTGTATAGTTTAATTTACCCTAGTTCTTAGTCCAAGAAATGCAATTTCTCAACAGGGCAAGTCAGCATGGAGTTCTGCTTAGATCAGTGTGTGTCTTAATACTGAAAGTACTATAAATGTCCTTGCTTTATGCTGTGCAGCATCACATAATGTAAATATCTCCAGGCCCAGGACCAGTTTAGAATCAGGAGACAATAAAAGTACAGTGGAGAACCTCAGTTTGTTGTGTATGAGATGCAAAAAGTGATTTTTAATGCTTCACTAACAGCGTACAGAGATGGGCCTGCTCTGAGGCATTCACATTCTGAATATACTAGGCTGCCTCAGCATTTGATAACGTATCTTGAATTCCTTTGTTTTTTTATCTTTGGATTATCCTTAATACCCAACCACAGCAATGCTCACTAGGAGTAGAAATCTGTGTTCTGTAAACTGCCTTACTAGTCTCCCTTTTGTTGTTGTTGCTGTCATTACAAAGGATTTATTCAATCATGAAATCCATAAACAACATGGACTTGTACAGATTCAGATTATATTGTCAATTACACAAATATGGTATTTTTTATTTTAGAAGAAATGCTGAATGAATGTAGGTATTTAGCATCAAGTGTGGTCATGGCATAGTTAAAACTGCAACGTATAACATTATCTTCAAAGGTTATAATCTCACCAGAAGCACTTTACTGTCAGTTTAAATAAAAAGTTACATGTGTTATTGCTTGTATAATAAGCCTTGCAAAATCTTGAATGGAACTTGATATTTGTACTGGCAAAGTACATTGTGTGAAATATCAAAGAAATACAGATCTGGCTGATTAGGAGTTTAATCCTGAAGTTGAAATTATAGAGAAAATATTTCAAATCTATAATTTTTTGTGGGCTTTAAAATACTGTCCTCAAATCCAGCCAGATTTTAACCATCCAGACTAGTGCACATCACAAAGGAAACAATAAATGTTTCTATATATAATATATGATGTGTTTTCTGTATTTAAATAAAATCCACTGTGGCCTGGGTTCAGTGAGACTATAGAAATGTAAACAAACAGTATTACTCACATGTCCAAATTCTTTATGCCCCTGTAATTCAGGCTTTCAAACTCTAAACACTCCCTATTCAATAAAGTGGTTAGTCCTAGATAATGTGCTATGAATTAAAGCTCTCATAATGAATTTGTTTAATACGTTTAGTCCAAAGGACAGAATGAAAGGGCATACATTTTGTGTAAACTTATCTTACCATAAGATTACAGCATGTTCCTAAATTAAAATTAAGTTAAAATTGATAAATTAGGTATGAATTATTTTTATAGGATTGTAGCCTTCAAATGTACTTCCCATAAATAGGTAAAAGTGAAGTACAGTAGAAGCTTAATGAACTATTAAAACCAATCAAAATCATACCCTTTATTAAGAGTTGCCCTTTATACTACTTTTTTTATTAAATGCAAAGCAAATAAAAATATATAAGAAAAGTGGCAAACATTATTCAATTCATATTTATAAAAAGTATCAAGTCATACAGTTGGGCTGGCAACAATTGATACTTAAACGGCAAAAATCATATACATATATAATATAAATCTATGAATATAACAAACAAGGGATAGAAACATTATATAAATAAGGTGTCTTTAAATATTTACAGTTATACAGAAACTAGCCAAAGTGGTGCTATAAGAAAGAAATATTGGCTGTTTATAAAAGATATTATAAATTTGCATACATACATACGCATTACACTAATAGTTCTTTAACTTATGTATTTCATATACTAGTTATTACTTTTAGATCTATTTGCATAAAATCATTTAAAAATATGACTATTTTGCATTTCAAGTCACAGGAAAAGCTATTAGTATAACAATAGAAAAACACTAGCTCTGACAATGTCAGCCAGCCTCCCTGCCCTTCAAAATTTTGTCTCTGGCTTCTTGCTTCTAGGAACAAGGAAGACATTGCCATCTCTTGTTTGCTGTAGTGAGTACTCATTAGGAGAGTAAGGCTTTCCATTTTCATCACGTAGCATACTGAAGACCTCAAGATACAAGGTGCTAAGCTGCTTCTTCATTAAGCGGAGGCTTTTGTCATTCTCTCCTTTTTCTTTAAGTAATTTCTCTTTTTCATCCTTGAGATGGCCCAAGTCTTGCTCCAGTTCCACTATGTTTTCCAGTTTCCTTTTACGGCAATTTTGAGCAGCCACTTTATTCTTGCCTCTCCTGCGTATATCTCTAATAAGTGCAAGCTGGGCTTCATTGAACTGCTCCTTAGACATCATTTCATTGAAGTCATCCACAGGGAGGTTGATGATTTTCTCTACAGGGAAAGGGATATGCAGAGCTTTTGCTCTTTGCTCATCTCTTGTGAGATGAGCTTCAAGGTGGCCAGAAGGCTTGTCTTTTGTAAATGGAGCTTTAGGGTGGCCTGGGCTGGCAGGTAGCTCTCCCTTTGGTGTGTTTGCATATTGCAAATCAGACTTTCGAGTGCTTGGCCCCAGGGCAGGAGACATTTGATCATGGCATTGCAATGAATACACATTAACATTGCTCTGTTGCATACTTCCAGGTGCACTGTCCATTTCTTCCATTTCAGAATCACTGTACCCAAAAGTTTTATCTCCACAGACAGATAATTCACCAGAGTATTCAGGTGATGCTGTGCTAGAACTTGTGTTCAGGGAAATACCAGAGTCAGAATCATTACCTTCTGCTGCATTTCCTGAAAGGTCACTGTTGAAAGCTTTACAAAGGGAGAAATCTGCAAGATCAATGGGTTCACTTAGAATATCGTCTAGAGATTGGCTGATAACATTAGGTGCTACTGTGTCACTGCTCACCTTTGTATCAATAAAGGTGGAATAGAAATCTTCACATAAGTCAGACCTTGAAGAGGGAGTAGTATTTGAAGAGTTCACTTTCAATTGACTGAGGTCTTCTGGTGGTAAGATGCTAGAAAAGGGACCCTCCTCAAAAGCATCAAGGAAATCAGGATTGCAGGTAACATCTTTTTCCGTTATAGATAACGAGTTGTAGAAGTTATAGTTATTGTGCATCTCTGTTGGCTTGGCTTCCGGGCTTGCGATAGCATTCATTATTTGAACCAGGTTATCATTTTCAATATTAAGGCACTATATGGGAGGGGAGGGGAGGAAAGGAAAGTAACAAAAGCTTAGCAATAATGGACACATTGATATCAAAACATTTTGATATTAATATTTAACTTATCATTGCTAGATTTCATAAATATAAAATTTCACTTAAAAAGTCAATGTACACATAAAATTGCTATGACACAATGATAGCTTCCATGGCAATAGCATATTTCTAAGATCATTTTTATTACTGAGGCAGGATCAGAAGAAGAGTGTAGCAGAGGATGGCATAATCTGTTCTGAGCACCTGTATTAACACAGCATGACACTCTGGGATTTGTAGTCTTGCCAAAATCATACAAAATAGCTGAAGAAAAGACCTACTGCAGTATTGTTCAACACCATTAATTATTTGGATGATGAGATCAAGCACACACTTAGCAAATTTGCAGAAGAAACCATGTTGAGTGAAATTGTAGATATTCTGGATGTTAAGGCTAGGATCCAGAATGACCTGGATGGAGTGAAGAAATGGTTTGCAATCAATGAGATGAGACTCAACAAGGGCTAGTGCAAAGTCCTGCATTTGGGACTGAATAACTGCATGCACATATACAGACTGGAGAATGGCTGGCTAGGTTGCAGTAATGCAGAGAAGGACGTGGGGGTTATGGTGAAGTTGAACACGAGCCAACCGTGTGCTCTTGTTGTGGAGAAAAAGAGTCAACAGCAACCTGGGTTGTATTAACAGGAGTGTCACTTGCAAATCAAGGGAAGTAATTCTTCTCTATTCAGCACTGGTGAGGCCTCATCTGGAGTCCTCCATCCAGTTTGGGCCCCACACTTCAAAAAAAGATGTGGACAGTTTGTTAAACAATCCACTGCAGGGCAACAAAAATGATCTGGGAGACAAGATTTATGAGGAAAGCCTGAAAGAATTAAAATTATTTAGCCTGAAAAGAGATGATTGAGGGGGATTTGAAAATAGTCTTCAAATACTTGAAAAGCAATTATGTAGAGGATGGAGATGGATTTTTTTCTGTGGCTGTAGGGGACAGGACTAGGGACAATGGCCTCAAGCTGCAGCAGGCAAAATTTAGGCAGGAGATTAGAAGGAACGACTATGAGAGTTGTCTGGCATTGGAACAGACTACCTAGAGAAGTTATGAAATCTCCATGCTTGCTGACTTTCAGAAACAGGTTAGACAGATATTTGGCTGGAATGGTTTAATCAGAAATGATCCTGCCTTGAGCCAGGATGAAACCTGGATGTAGCCTTCCTGCTGTGGTAAAATTGTTGAGATGGACCTGGGGTGCTGCCAAGTTTGGGTACACCTAAAGAACTACTGCTAGTAGTAGGATTATTAAAAAGACTCTTTGATCCATAAAGCAGCTGTTTGATGCAGTGAAATTAAATTTACTATAGAAAACAAGTAGTACTGACAGGGAACTTTACAAACAACATTTCACCCCACATACTTTTAGTTAAGTTGGTTAACAGGCATAAGTACAGAAGTCTATTACATTGATGGGCTTTCATTGGCAATGAAACAAACATTCTTTCCAGTAGGGTAGTAGTATCTTAACATTGACTGAAGGAAGCTGATATCAGTGTGCCTTCTGTTCCTGGAGAAGGAGGCAATTACCAAAATGATTCTGTTTCTCTTATAAAAGGACCACACACTGATTACTTAACTTGTGGTTACACAAGGCCTAAACTACAGTTTACAGGACTGGAGACTGAGTTGGCCTTTTTGTTTCCTGTATATCATTCACCTTTAGGTATCTTGCTTCTGTCTGAAAATGTAGGGTTACCAGAACAATAATATTAGAGAGGTTTTCAGTTTGTTTCCTCTATTTATTTTGCAATTTTCACAGTTGCCCATTTCCCCACTTATCTGTGATGTGTACAAAATATCTACTATGAAAATTAAAAATAAATAAATAAAATTAGGGTTTTAAAATACACAAAAATTAGCAACAAATATATAGAGGCAGAGTAAATGTAGTACTGGCACTGGTTTCTAAATAATTTGTAAGTGGTTTGATTTCAGTTTGATAGTCTCTTTCCACTGCAGTATCCAAAACAAGGTAACATCATTGTGCTGCATAATCATTGTTTCCAAAGCAGTAATTAAAATTAATCCAGATTTAGCTTTTGCAGTACAATGTAGATAAAATCCATTATAGGGGTGCACTGATAAAGATTTTCTTAGCCAATAAGACATTTTAAAAGTATTGATATAAATGAATCTTTTTTTTTCTTCTATTTTTTTGGCAAATTCCAGCAGCCTCCTGAGTCTCATGTATCAGCATCCTGGAGCTTAAAAATAGGGGCAGAGGCACTTGAACTAAAGCTCATTCATTGAATGAGCTTTATTTAAAGTGCCACCGCCCCATTTTTAAGCACGGGGACAGTTTTAAACAGAGCAGAGCTGAGTGGGGTGAGGGCGAATGCAGGCTGCCTGCTGTTTGCTCGGGGCTCTCTGCCCTGCTGCCTGTGCCCTGGAAGCCCCATGCTGGCTGTGTACCCCCTGCTCACCTGGCAACATGGGGCACAACTCGTCACCCCCCACTCCTGCCAGGTGGGCAGGGGACATGCAGCCAGCCTGGGGCTCCCAAGGGAAAGGCAGCAGAGCGGAGAGCCCCAAGCCCACAGTGAGCAGCCTGCATCTGCTCTGCATACATATCTAGGGGCATACCTGCCTCCCCCGAGGATGCACGCAGTGGTAGGGAGCCAATCCCATACACCCTCTAGATAAGCTGCCCGTGGCTCTGTCCCACTCCCTGCCCCAGTCCTGGGTTCCATGTATTGCCCTGCCAGGGCAGCGCCCCCAGCCCCACTCCCTCCCTTACTGTGGAGGTCTTTATCTGCACCCCCTCCCCACTCCCCTATGCCCATTCCCCTCGATAAACTTACTTGCAGAGAGTTGCTTTCCACACTGCCCAGCTGTAGTCCTAGCCACGTGCATGTGTGCAGTCATGCATCTGCATGCAGCACCCCCTGTATCTCACTCCTACCAGCCCCAAGCAGGACCCCTTGCAGGCTAGAACACTGCCAGCCTGCAAGGAGAAACCTGCTGTTTCCCAAGGGAACCCAGGTATCTTGGGGCTGCAGCCAGTGCCCTGGCCAGAAGGTATAATAATCGGTAAACATTAAATCAGCTACAATGGCCAAAAAAAGCCGATAACTGATAATGTCATTTCCCCTTTTATCAATGCCAATCTGATAGACAACCGATACAATCGGTGAACCTCTAAAATACAAGGATCTTTAATAGATTAATTGTATAACTGGGAAATCTGTTCAAAAAGCTTTCAGGCATCAAGTGACCTTCCAATATTTTCTAAAGCTTCTCTTTCCCTAGCTGGAAGTTAAATGCAAATCTAAATGTATGTATTTAAATTTTTTAATTTGCTCATATATAAACCATGTATTCTTTCCCCAATACTATTTAAGCATCATACCGAAAATACTGTTAAGAGAAGTATTTGGGGGGAAAATATAGTTGATATAGATAGGATCGATAAATTTAGAAGTTACTGACTTTTTTGCAGGTTGGACTTTAGTCATGACAGTGCCATTAACAGGTTTATGCATTTAATACAGCTCTAGAACTGATAGAAAAGGAAGCATCATGTCTGGGATGTGTTTGCTTGTGACACTATTTAAAGAACCCATTTCTTTGAAGTCTCCACCATACGTGGATGAAGCATATTTTTAATTAGAAGATCCATTTACTTTATGACATCAAGCACCGATTTACAAAAACTCTGTAAACACCAGCTTGACATGCCAATTACCTACCATCCCTTAAAAAGGTTACTGCCACTGTTCACATTTCTTGAAGGTATTCTCCTTGAATGCCCTTCTATTCCTTCATTAACCCTTACCTGTAGTTCTGCAATGGACAATAATTCTTCCCAAACTTGATTTATGTTTTGTGTGCTGTCTCCATCAGTGACTGGGGACTGAAGGACAGATGACTCGGGTGGCTGAGCCTGATCAGGACTAATAAAGATTGGGTTGCTATCAACCGGAGCAGGAACCAGTGATTGAAACGCAGCTGAAGAAACCTGGAATTTAAAAAAAAAAAAGCATACAATCCAATCTTGCATAAAGTACAAGCTGTTCTTAGTGCTGTCTGTATTAGTTGTTTACTAAATCCACATGTATCCCTTCCAAGAGTAATTTATACACATATTTGCTAGCTTCTGCAAATGTATAATTTACAAGCATTTCCAAGAAAAGTGGCTTTATAATAAGAGAAAGAGAAAACGCTCCAAACAAACTGTCCAAGGGCGTGCCTTCACTGGAAGGGTTAGCTTGCAGCACATTTAGTTAGTAAATTTGAGTAAAGCAACTTGAATCTATTAATGCAAGCTATCTGTTACAAGTTGAGTGTGAACATAATGCAAAACACCACTCTAACACAGTGACTGGGTCACCAGTTGATGAGTTTTGGTCACTCAACATGCTGTATCAATACTGTTCGAGTGTCAGCCAGCACTCAACCTTCAACCCATCCACCTGAGAGGTCAGCTACCTTGGGTTTAATGCTCCACTTAACTGGAGATAGAGATTTTTGTCTGTGGATAGGAGTCTGGTTAAGGGGAAAATTCAAAATATAGCTTGAGTTCAAACTGAACTGCAGACTGAAGGCAAATTATTGTTACCTTAAAAAAAAGAAAGAAAAGAAAAAAGTACCGACATAAAACATTGTACTAAACATTTACCTCATTATCATCTACAAATGAAAAAGTTTCTGCCAGGATTTGCATGCAGTCATCAAAAGACAAGGCATCTGCTTCTGATTTTGAAGTACGTGTATTCTGGATAGGAACATTATGAAAAAGCGTATTAGCTTATTTTTAAATGACTAAAGATCTTCAACTACAGCAAATACAGACTAAACGTTAGTGTTAACCATTAGTTTTACCATTTCTTTTTATTCATGAAAACAGTGTACACACACACACAAACACCTCCCCCCCTACCCCGGTATAAAAGAAAAATACTGCTTTTTTACCTGTGAAAAACTGGTTGGCGCTCTAGTATTTTCTGACTTAATGTGCTGCGTTGGCTGAACGGGAACAAATTCACCTGTTTCTTCATCTAACTGCAACTGAGCCAGTAGTGCTTTTTCTTGCTCTTTCTGAAGCTGTTCTTGTCTCTCCTTTTCTAGTTTCTTTTGCTTTTCAAGTTCATATTCTTTCTTTCGTTGACTTAAATCAAAGACTTCACGTCTTGCCCCAAGATCTATATCTTGCCTCCAAAGGATGTCAATCAAGTTCATGTCCTATCATTGAAATAAATTAGTTTTAAAAGGCAGCCTGCACCATAGCAAAACTCATTTAAAACAACATATCAGGACAATTCTAAACAGGTAAACTCATGTCATTGAAGTGTGTTAATTTAATCCTACCAAATTACTTAAGCAAAACATGGTTCTAAAATACCTTAATCTTTTGTATTAATTACATGCACAGACTGGTTTCTTATTGTTGCAAACATTCTCACTGTCTGTCACACACGCACACAGAGAAATATTTCCTCATAAGGAGTATATCAATAAATCAGCACAGTACAGCTGGAATGGTTAAGAATGCAGTTTGGGTAACATGATTACACACCAACCAGCCAAAAGAGCAGAAGCAACTAATTCCTTCCTAAATTAGCTATTAGAAAACATGAAGATAAAAGGAGACATTAAGAGATCTATGATTTACTTAAAAAATGTTTTCCTCAGGAAAAGAAAGGCACAGGAGTGAAAAGCGTGAGAATGAAAAAAATGAAAAAAAGGTTGCACTAATTTTACAAGAATATGCAATTGGGCAAATTATTTTTGTATACTAACAGAACATTTTCAAGATGACTACAGATACACTGCAAAATGCAGAGTAAAGAAAATAACTATTTCTATTCATTATGGAATAAAATTTTAAAAGATTTGTTACTTCATGCTAGTAAAAATGAATATTACTTACAAAATTTGGGCAAAACCCAGTTTAGAGAGAGACCACTATACACAGGGAAAGATGCAATAAATAAAAAAAAAAAACAACTGTTTGTAATTTAGCCTTAGATTAACTATGTAAGAAGCATCCCCAACCTGGATTTTTATAATTCATGGGTGTCAAATTTTGCATTATGGCTCTTCACAGGTAGCTAGCTATATAGAACTATGAGATTGCAAATTAAATATGCATGGCAATATCTGATTTCCAGAGTGTAACTCTATCAGATCAAAGGATACAACTGAAGTTCCACTATTCAGAAAAAGCTATTTGGTTAGCAGATTTTGTTTGGTTACATTTTCCCTTTTTAGTTAATGAAAACTACATAAATATTTATTTTTCAAGGGTTTAAGCATTCCACATTTTAAAGGTCAAAACTTTGGGTATTTTCTAGAATAAACAGTCTAAAATCTTAACACAACCAAGCATTACATTAATTGAGATGCTAGAACATTTAAGATATGAGATGCTTGTATTTGTAATACAGATATATTTTAAGAGTCTGCACGTATGTTTCAGATGGAATTTCATTTTTCCCCACAAACTACATATGTAAACAGACTAAATGTTTAGCCCTAGGCATCTGCACTGTTTTCACGTGCCAGCCTTTATGGAATCAAATTGAAATTGCTTCAGTTCAGACAGCAATCCCAAACCTAATATAGTTTGCCTTGCCACAACAGGACACCAAAACTTCAAACTATCTTCAGATTGAGGAGCACATTAATGTAAACATAGATCAAACCTCCCTTCCAAAAATAAGACTACTTTTCTATCAACTCCATGGCCAAAGGCATGTGCACCTATTTTCAGATACAAATCAGTTCAGTAGTCTAATCTACCGTTGATATTTCCTTGTTTTTACTTTATTGTCCACTGTTTCAGTTTTATCAATCGTATCATCATATACTAGATTCTGTTTTAACATTGTTTAACCCGATAGAATGTATAATCTTAATATATTTTACTATTTAGCAAAAATAGTAAAATATATCAATTTTATTATGTTTGTTGTTCATTTTATCTTCACAAAAGCTGTAAATTACTACTACTTAGGAACAGAAATAATTATTGCTACTAGTTATTTTAAAACTGATTCGGCAAGCTAGTTAGTATTTCCTCATGCTTTACAGCTTGTGCAAACTACAGCTTGTATAGTTTTAAATCTAAGGCATATTTAATATACCTTGCTGTAAGAGACCAAATCCTGCTTTAATGGCCAGCAATGAAGAAGCTGAAATAATTACAGTGGATGCCCAATATACTGTTTGGTCTTTCCAGATTGGCAGAGTAAAATGAACTCATTAAGTTCTGCAGTAATTGGAGATATTACAATATGGTATACCTTCATTAAGGGCCAGTAGTTTACCAGCTGCTCACTCTATTCTCCTGCAGCAGATCTGAAAATGCTTCCTAGTCTCAGAACATTTGCAATATGCTCTAGATAAAATTGCAGGATCTGGATTTTAAGGCCTATTTCTGAATTATTCACTTACAAGCACCATTACAAATTGTGACTCAAAAGATTTTTTTGTGTGTTATGTGTGAAAACAAGAATCCACAGAGCTTTTTCTCCCTAGCCAACAACTGGAATAGGAGAACTATTAATCAGTTTCAATTTAAATTATAAAAACAAAAACTGGTCGGGAGACATTTGAGGGAAAGTAGCATGCTTTTAATCTGTAGACAGATTCGGCAGAGGTATCAGCCACATTGTGTAGGCCAGTGATTCTCAACCAGGGCACTGCGGTTGAGATCCTTTCAAGACTACAGTGAGGTGTGCAAACATGATTTACCCCAGATAAACCCAGAGATTTCACATTGGAATCCATAGTGTCAAAAACAGTCTGACCTGTTCTGATCTTTGAGCTCTCTGCAACAGAACTGTTCTATTGTTTTTCTGTAGTCTTTCAAAAAATTGAAAATTAAGAACTGGCATTTCTGAGTGCCCTGAATCTATACAAATTGGGAACTACTGGGTTAGCCTTTTATAGTCAATATAAGGAGTCATGGAATGGATCAATCATTGGATGCAAGATCCGCAAAGAAATCCCAGCTGCTTAAAACAGTGGCACAGACAATTCAGTAAGTCATTTTCTTCTGAAATAACATGAAAGGAATGCACAAGTATAGTATCAGGGGGTCTCCTACTTGCTGTCTTTTGGATAACAAGTAATGGTACTGACCCTATTAAATCCTGAATCTCATCGGAAGTTCTCACAAAATGCGAGTTAGTACATAGGTCCTGAATACGTTCTAATCGGTTATGCTGCCCATCTGACTTCTCTCTATTCAAAACTGATGTATAGTGTTCTAAGTTTTGCTAAACAGTTGCTGTGTTTCATTTTGTAAGTGGTTTCTTGTCAGGGGTACATCAATATATATACAGAATACCTATTCTGAAAAAACCTAGACACTTGGGGAGATAAAATTAATTCTGTTTGTATGGCTGATAAAAGGGAATAGGGATTATTTGGTATAAAAGGTTCTATATAAAACATAACAGAGTTATCCTTCAACACTGACCAAAATTCAAGTAAATTCTGTTTTAAAAAAAAAAAAAAAAAAGGG